GTTATTAAAGTCTGAACCATTTGTCTCTGAAATCATTCGCCTTGGAAGGAAAGTCTTGTGGGACATTGTCTTGGATGCGAGGTTGGGGCATCAGTCCCCAAAGCTGAACTCTGAGCTACACGATAATGGACTCGTTGAATCCTAATGGACATAACAAAGGAGATATTAATAAGGCATTAAAAGTATCAACACAAGACAGAACACGAAACAATGGGTATAAATTGGATAAGTTTGGATTTAGGAAAGACTTGGGTAAATACTGGTTCGGTAAATCATAACTGTTGATTTGTGGAACCAATTACCGCGTAACGTGGTGGAGGTGGGTCCCTCGATTGTTTCAAGCGTGGATTGGACATGTATATGAGTGGGATTGGGTGGTTATAGATAGGAGCTGCCTCGTATGGCCAATAGGCCTTCTGCCGTTACCTTTGTTCTTATGTTCTAAGTATTCAGATGGACAACAGCGTATAACAAAGGAGATATTATAAAGGTGTTAAATATATCAACACAAAATAGGACACGAAACAATGTATCATATGGACAAGATAAGTTTAGATACACAAAGTACCTGGGTAATACTAGTATGGGAATACAGAATATGAACTGCGATACCAAATATCAGGTACAATTATAGACAGGCGATGAGTCACAATAACGTGGCTGAAGTATGTTGACCAATCAACACACTAGAAAATGAAGGAACAACGACGTTTCGGTCGGTCTTGGACCATTCTCAAGTCACAATCGACCTGAGAATGGTCCAGGACGGACCGAAACTTCGTCATCCCTTCATTTTCTAGTGTGTGGATTGGTCAGCTACAATTATAGACCTTAGATTACGGGCGACTTTCAAGCAGAAGAGAGACATATGTATACATGAGTTTTGGTGGATATAAACAGTAGCCGCGCCGAAGATAACGATAGGCGATAGAGTGTTGTTATATTATCATAGCAATATGGAAGTTGTAGTGAAGGACCTGGTGACTCTAGTGGGAGCCCTGAGGACAGAGTTGGACTCTCTGCGGGAGGAGGTGCGTCAGCTTAAAAAACAACGAGAAGTAACGAAGGAGGAGACCAGCAGTAAAGGGACCTCGTCTTGGAGAGTTGCGAAAGACAGGGGCCTTAAGAAGACTTTGATAAAGCCGCCTTCAAACGCCATAGCAACTTCAAATTCATTTGACGTTTTGGAGGACGAGTGCTGTGGAGAGACTGTGGATCGCGCAAAAGGGAAAGCAACGAAGAGAAAGGAAGCGCAGGCCCCTCAGAAAGTAAAGGAAGTACCTAAGCAAACATTAGTTGTGGGAGATTCCCAGATAAGGTATTTGGATAGAACGTTTTGTGCTAGAGATAGGGGGAACAGGTTAAGGGTTTGCTATCCCGGAGCTGGCATTGGTGATATTATAAACAACATGAATGATATTATGGCTGGTAATGGGAACAATCCCATTATTTGCATTAGCGTGGGAGGAAATGATGTTGGTCGAGTCAGGAGTGAGGAACTGATTCAGAGGTATAAAACAGCCATAGAGTTAGTTAGGAGCAAGGGAGGAATCCCGATCATATGTGGCATTCTTCCAAGAAAGGGAGTGGGAAATGAATGGATATCGAGGGCACTTGGTGTCAATTGCCGGCTGGAAAGATATTGCAAATCAAATGCAATATCTTTCATAGACAACTGGGAACACTTCTATGGAAGAAATGAAATGTATGCTCGTGATGGGGTGCATCTATCGAGAGCTGGGGTTGTTGCTGTTGCGAACTCGCTAGAAGAAGTGGTTAGAGGTGTTTGTTTGGGTTTAAACTGTTAGTAGATAGAGGTATGGGAATTGATTTGGAGGAAGGAGGTAATAAAAGTATGTGTTTGTGGGAGAAAGGAATTGGCAAAACGATCAGGGAAAGAGAAGGTCCGCAAAATAACAATTCACTTAGGGTATATTACACTAACAGTAGAAGTCTAAGAAATAAAATTAACGAATTAAATGCTCTTGTCTGCACAGAAAAAATAGATATTATTGCACTTACCGAAACGTGGATGAATGTAGAAAATAGAGAACTATTAGCTGAATATCAAATATATGGATTTAAACTATTTCACACAGATAGATATATTAGACGAGGAGGTGGAGTAGCCATATATGTTAGGAACAATTTGAAATGTAGTCTCAAAGAGGGAATCAAAACAGAGCCACACACAGAAACTATTTGGATTGAATTAAACGAAAAAGCTAATAATATTATAATAGGAGTAATATATAGGCCACCAAATTTAGACAGAATGGAAGCAAAGCATCTATGGGATGAAATATCTAGAGCATCTAGATCTAACAGTATTTATGTCATGGGTGACTTTAATTTTAGCGGAATAAACTGGTTGAACAAAACAGGGAATAGTGAAGCAGAAGATTTTCTAGAATTAATTGACGATTGCTTTCTTACGCAACACATTAAGGAACCAACACGGGAAAATAATATTTTAGATTTAGTGTTAACTAACAGGGAAACGCAAATTAATGACATCGAAATAGGGAGTGAGCTAGGGAGCAGTGATCACAAAGAAATCAGATTTAGCATAGAATGGAATAGACCAGTAGGAGAAAATTCTGTTAAAGTGCCAGATTTTCGAAAAGCTGATTTTAATAGCCTAAGAAATTTTTTGGGTCAAATTGATTGGAAAGGCTTGGGTATGGGGTGTGGGCCGGTCTTGGAGCGAGACATGAACCCAGCGATAGGTGACTTAAATGGGGATTTCGATGTGGATTCAATATATAACTTATTTAAGAATATTCTAAACAAAGCACAGGAACGTAGTATACCATACAAATTGAATAGATCGTATACTAATGACCCAAAGTGGATAACAAAGAATTTGAAGAACCTTATAGGTAAAAAGAGAGCTTGGTACAAAAGGATTAAAAATGGGGAGGTCACTTTAGAACAGGAATTCGTACAACTGGTTAGAAATGTTAAAAAAGAGATAAGGAAAGCAAAAAGAAACTATGAAGTTCGCATAGCAGGGCAAGCAAAGACAAATCCTAAAGGGTTTTTTCAGTTATATCGTACTAAGACTAGGGAAAGGATAGGTCCATTAAAAACTGAGACAGGTCAAATAACAGATAGTGATGAAGAGATGAGTAGTATTTTTAATAAATATTTTGTATCTGTATTTACTAAAGAGGAACTTAACAATATGCCTTCAGCCGAACAAGTCTATGTGGGTGGGGACGAGGACAGGTTGACGAGTTTAGCAGTTACCAGGGAGGATGTTCTTAAACAAATAGTAAAACTCAAACCAAACAAATCCCCAGGGCCGGATGAAGTGTTTGCTAGGGTGCTTAAAGAATGCAAAGAGGAGCTTTGTGACCCACTGTCAACCATATTTAATAAATCAATAGAGTCAGGCAGAGTGCCAGAGTTTTGGAAAGTTGCTAATGTGATACCAGTTTTTAAGAAAGGAGATAGATCACTTGCGTCTAACTATCGACCAATTAGCCTAACGTCTATTGTGGGAAAGTTACTCGAATCTATAATAGCAAATAAAATTCGTCTTCATCTTGAAAAACATAAATTAATAATTGAGTCGCAACATGGTTTTATAAATGGCCGTTCATGTTTAACAAATTTGTTATCTTTTTATTCTAGCATTGTTGAGGCAGTTGATAGTGGTAAGGATTGCGATGTTGTATACCTTGACTTTAGCAAAGCTTTTGATACAGTGCCACATGAAAGACTGATTAAAAAAATAGAGTCTCATGGTATTGGGGGTGCTATATTAAGCTGGATTAGGGCATGGCTATACCAAAGGAAACAGAGAGTTAGTATAAATGGAATCAAGTCAGAGTGGGAAAATGTTGTAAGTGGAGTGCCTCAAGGCTCTGTCCTGGGACCTCTGTTGTTTATAATATATATAAATGATTTAGATTCAGGTTTGAGTAGCAACATTTGCAAATTTGCCGATGATACGAAAATCGGTAGGGAAATTAATTCGGAGGAGGACTCACTATCACTTCAAGTTGATCTAGATAGGGTTTTGAAATGGTCAAAGGATTGGCAGATGCAGTTTAATGCTGATAAATGTAAAGTTCTGAGGTTAGGTAATGATGATAGAGTTACAAGATACGAGCTAGATGGTGTTGTGATTGCGAAAGGGATCTGGGAGTTATGATTAGTAAGAATTTAAAACAAAAGGATCAATGCATAAATGTTCGTAATAAGGCAAATCGGACACTTGGATTTATTAATCGCAGCGTTAGTAAGAAGACACCTGGTGTGGTTCTCAAGCTATATCTTGCTCTAGTTAGGCCCCATTTAGATTATGCAGTTCAGTTTTGGTCGCCATATTATAGAATGGATATAAATTCACTTGAACGTGTCCAGCGTAGGATGACTAAGTTAATTCCCCAAATTAGAAATCTTTCATATGAAGAAAGATTAACAAAGCTTAAGTTGCATTCACTGGAAAGGCGAAGAGTTAGGGGTGACATGATAGAGGTTTACAAGTGGATGAATGGACATAACCGGGGGGATATTAATAGGGTATTAAAAGTATCAACACAGGACAGAACACGAAACAATGGATATAAATTGGATAAGTTTAGATTTAGGAAAGACTTGGGTAAATACTGGTTCAGTAACAGGGTTGTTGATTTGTGGAACCAATTGCCGCGTAACATTGTGGAGGTGGGGTCCCTCGATTGTTTCAAGCACGGGTTGGACAAGTATATGAGTGGGATTGGGTGGTTATAGAATAGGAGCTGCCTCGTATGGGCCAATAGGCCTTCTGCAGTTACCTTTGTTCTTATGTTCTTATGTTCTTCTGCAGCTTCCTAATGTATTAATATGTTCCTTCTCCTCCAATGCCTATTATCGTCCCGAGACAACCATGTCAGTAATTCACTGATGACGCGCCGCCTCACTCGACCGTGAGGTGACGAGCGGGGAATATATGGCCAGGAGACGGCTGTAGAAACTTCACAATTGTGTCTTCAGCAGAAGCAGCAAGGATGAAGGTCCTCGTCCTATTGGTCCTGGTGGCTGTCAGCTCCGTCTTCACACGACGTCTGGGCATGCAGGATGATGCCTTGTTCTCACACCCACATACCCAACCAGCAGACCCAGAGTCCAAGATGTCCTTGCAGCCAGCAGACCCAGAGTCCAAGATGTCCTTGCAGCCAGCAGACCCAGAGTCCAAGATGTCCTTGCAGCCAGCAGACCCAGAGTCCAAGATGTCCTTGCAGCCAGCAGACCCAGAGTCCAAGATGTCCTTGCAGCCAGCAGACCCAGAGCCCCACGTGCTGTCGCACCCAGCAGACCCAGAGCCCCACGTGCTGTCGCACCCAGCAGACCCAGAGCCCCACGTGCTGTCGCAGCCAGCAGACCCAGAGCCCAACATGTCGCAACTCTTCCCAGAACTCATCAAATCAACGGAACACGCAGTCGGAGAGTTATTTAAGTCTGAATCATTTACCAAGAAAGTCATTCGCTTCGGAAGGAAAATCTTGTGGGACATTCTTCAAGATGCGAGGTCCTCAGTCCCCAAAACTGAACTCTAAATCACACAATAATGGACTTATTGTTATAAAGTCCAGCGGACTTATTCAATTCCTTAAATCTTGTATTTTGTCTATTAATTTATGTAAAATAGTAAAATAAATGTCATAAGAAAGTATTTTCGTGTAATCTCCCTGATATCTTCCCTGAACCAAATTGAACTTCCAAGTTACTCTGAATTTCCTCAACCAGTCCAACTACATTTTTGAGTTTTCAAAATTGAAACTACATTGAATACGATAAATTTGTCTACCCAATCTATTGTTTTAAAGCATCCATTATTTTACATAATTCTTCGCCTTTTTGTAGAATGTAATTTAAGCGTTGTCAATCTTCACCTAACAGGCTTCTAATTTGGGGGATTAACTTCGCTGGCCGCGTTGTAGTGAATTTTCTACGTTGTAGTGAATTCTATATTACGGCGACCCAAACTGAACTGCATAATCTAAATGGGTCCTCTATATCCTACTGAAGATCAACACCAGGAGTCCTATCACTAACGCTTCGATTACTAATAGCTTTCACTCTGATGCGCCTGTTCACCTAGCAGTAAATAAGTACTTTGGAGTTAGACAGCTGCTGCGGGCTGCTTCCTGGGAGTGTGTATGTGTTAAAAAAAAAAAGGTTGACAGTTGAGAGGCGGGTCCAAAGAGCCAGAGCTCAACTCCCACAAGCACACACACACACACAGTCTGACAGATACTGATTACGCCTCTGACTGATAGCCTTTTGTTTTTAATTCTGGAGTTTGTGTGGTGAGGGGAATCCATTAAGGGAACAGCCAGCGTCATTACAGGGTGTCAGATATGGCTTATCCATCACTGTGCTCTGTCTCTTGTTCACTTACATCATGAACTCTTTCACTAGAGCCACCAGACTCTGTTCAGTCTGTTGTTCACCTCCATAATGAACATACCTGGATATGTTCATACCTCCATACTGCAACTGGACTATGGTTGCAAATACCATTCGTCTTCATCTTGAACAACATACATTAATAAATGATCCGCAAAATAGTTTTGCTAATGTTTTTACATTTCAGTAACATGGTTTTACTAAACAGTGATCACATATGGGGGTCAAAGGGATCATACATGGGGTCACAAAGATGAGATGTGAGGTCACACGGGTCAATAATGGCGCCAGTTTTGTTCTTGCTTTACATAAATAACACTATTACAAGAGGCAAAAGACCATTATAACCAAACTAGACTGTTTACGGGAAACTTAAAGTCTTACAAACCTGAAGAGACGCCAGTTTGAGAAGAACTACTTTATAAATTATAAAGCCTTGATGAACTAAAGCCTAAATAAATATTTTTAATAATTATAAAATATAATTATAATTATAAAGCCTAAATAAATATTTTTACACAGTTGACCTTCAAAATGTGACAAGAACTACACTAACCTGACTCATGGACCTTGAAAACCCGACTTCAAGACCAAGTACATTGTTTCAGTTTCGAGTGAGAGTCGTGTGTCACCACCTAACTACCCCCAACGATCTCCAGAATGGTGTTTTAACAAGCTAGTGGTCGTTCGTGCTCGCCGTGAGCCAGCTAACGACCCAACCACCGTCCCGCAGACCACATTATCTGATGGGAAGGCCGGTGATTACATTTAAATGTCTCCAGAGTGGATGCACGCTAACGAGCGAGCGAGAGACAGTACCCACCCGAGCTGAGGGGTATGAACTACGAGGAAATACTATGGGAACTAAATCTCAACGTCGCTGGAAAAAAGAAGAGTTAGGGGAGACATGATCACCCCATACAACATTCTTAGAGAAATTGATAGGGTAGATAAAGATAATTTATTTAACACAGGAGGACACAAGTGTAAACTGGGTACCCAGATGAGTCATAGAGATTAGAAAAAACTTTTTTGTGTCAGAGTAGTTAACAGATGGAATGCATTAGGAAGCGATGTGGTGGAGGCTGACTCCATACAGTTTTAAATATAGATATGATAGAGCCCAGTAGGCTTAAGAGTACAGTTGAACTGACAGTTGAGAGGCAGGACTAAAGAACCAAAGCTAAACTCTCCCCGCAATCACAACTAGGTGAGTACACAAAGACTGTGTGTGTTTGTGTACTCACGTGCGCGGTGGTGGACGTGCCGAGGTGCGCCACCAGTTAACATTCCGTCTACATCTTGAAAAACATTATTCTACAAAGAAGACTACAACTTATTCACAACATGGTTTTACTTAGGGTCAAGTTTGACAACTTTAGTTTCATTCTATTCCATTATAATTGATGTAAATGATAGTGGAGAGAACTGTGACGTTGTATACATTTTAACTAAAATTTTGATGAAATTTATTTTGAGGCAACAGGGCGATTCGAACCCGCGTTCTGGTGAGTCCCAGACACCTTCCCTAATCGATTTGGTCATGATGGTACACACTTGAACCAACCCGGAAGTCTACTGAATTTACGGGGTGGTTCTAGAGGCTCCAAACTGGAGCCTAACCAGGATTTTCTAGTTGACCCGACCACACTCTGGCGTATGGTAACGGCGTTCACACTATTCCACACTCAGATCCCAAAGAAATCATAATGACCAAACCACACACTAGAAAGTGAAAAGACGACGACGTTTCGGTCCGTCCTGGACCATTCACTTTCTAGTGTGTAGTTTGGTCAACATATTTCAGCTACGTCATTGTGACCTCGTCTGCAAATTATAATGACATAAATTGTGTAGTTTAGTGTCATAATGACGTGATAAATCAATTAAATTAAATGATTTGCATTGATATACCAAGACATTATGATTTCTTTTTTTAGATTTTATTTCTATGATGGATATAATGAGAATGGAATTGAACTTACAGAGTATTGGGGATAGACTTAATTTCACGCACTTGCGTCATCGCCTTGAGCCACATACTACAAGTGCGATTGATTGAACAAATCCACAAGGGCCGTGACGAGGATTCGAACCTACGTCCGAGAGCATCCCAGACGCTGCCTTAATCGATTGAGCTACGACATGGTATAAGAATTGCAAGCAGAAATTCTATTTCTCCATTGTATCCATTTGATACATCACGTTATTGTGATTTGTGTGTGTAATGCGATTGATTGATGAAGATTAAGCCACCCAAGAGGTGGCACGGGCATGAGTAACCCGTAAACTACAAATGCGGTAGTCAGGGAGCTTTTATGGGCCATAGAATTTCTGAGAATAATGTAGCTAAGGTAATTAGACTAATGAGAGGTGCGGAAACAAATTAATCAAACCTCTCACTTTCAAATGTGGGGAAAAATTAATTATTATTTCAAGGTGTAATAAGAAACATACAAGAACTATTTCTTGTATGTTTCTTCTCTATTTCTATTTCTTTAGGCTATTTCTACCCTCCTCTACTTCAAGTCCCTCAAGGGGGGCACAAATCACAGTACAAGAATCACGTTTATCATTGCAGGTTAACATAGTACACACAGCAAGAGTGTTACAGTCTCGCTCCTGTGCCAGGTAAGTGCACTACGGGCTCACCTTAGCCCGTGCTACTTTGGAACTTTTGTTCCGAGTAGCTCAATCTAAAACAACAACGAGTGTTACACTCTTGGGGTAAAATGCTTGTAGCTCCTATCAAATATGATGTCTTGCAAGAGTGAACAATGTCTCTTCAACGCAGGCTGGACTTCATGTTGCTTAAGGGAATTAAGCTAATACAGCTATTAAACGTAAAATAGATGACTGTTTTTTGTATTTATATTGTATTTGTAAATTGTATACATAAATTGTGTGATAATGGAATGATTGAGAATTCTTAAGAGATTCAAACATTTTGGCCCAAGCATGTAATAAAACTCCCTACGGCATTTAGTAATATCTACTTCTGAATTTGAAGTAGATATTACTAATCAACTTGTAATATATATTTAGGTAAACGTATTTGAAATGTGTGGTAAGAATCTATTAATTTCGCACTACTTGCCATTTTGCCAAAATAGCCAAAATGGTGGCTATATTATCCACCCTATTACACATACGGGGAGATACAGTGGGTATGTATCTCATCTGATGATGAGATACATGCCCAGTGAGAGATGGATCTCTATCATCACCTTTCATGTTGAAACCTGCGATGATTTTCCTTCTTAATGACAGCAAAAAACCTTGAAGAAAGAGGCATTTGGAAATAATATTCTGCAGTGGTTGATAATGTCTTTATTTACTAAGGAAGTATAACTGATCTAATTCTACACACATTACTGGGACGTCTGGCTCCACTCATGGCTGGGACGTCTGGCTCCACACATCGCTGGGACGTCTGGCTCCACTCATGGCTGGGACGTCTGGCTCCACTCATGGCTGGGACCTGCCGACACATCTAGGATCCACCATAACACTCCGGCCATTGACCATGGCCGACCACTTGGGCTTACAGGTCAGCCCAGGCCCACATGGGCACGAGTATGTGTACGCGAGCGAGCCACCGAAGAAGCCGAGACGGTTCCCCGGAGCGCAGTACTCTCCCATCCGTCCAAGAGGTTGACAGACCCGTTGTGGCCGACGTTGTCCGTAGCCCGTCACCAGACAACAGCCACTGGAACAGTCGCTGTTGTCGATACACAGGTCTCCCAACGTCGGTGGGAACATGAGACCTTGCGCTAAGGTACACAGCACTCCAAGTAAGGCAGCTAAGCCAAAAGCCGTGACACTGAACTCCTTCATGTTAACGATGCAAAGTGAATGTCAGAATAAGTTGTTGTTTTAGATTTAGCTACTCAGAACGAAGTGTCCATGTAGCACGGGCTATGGTGAGCCCGTAAAGCCAGAATCGGGGCCTTTTAACAGCTTTGCGAGTGAGGTGTAGATAGACTGACTTCGCAAAATCAACACTCGTATCTTCTAGCTCGTATCTTGTAACTATCATTACCTAGCCTCAAAACCTTTCTTTTATTAACATTAAACTGCATCTGTTAATCTTGTGACCATTTCAAAACCCTATTTAGATAGGCCTTCTGCAGTTACCTTCATTCTC